CTCAAATACGTGTACGTGTACATGCTCAATGCATTCAATATGTTGACTATTCATTTAAACGCTTTAGAGATAACCTTCTAAGTAAAGTGATTGGTAATGGTTTGTTTAAATCTTATTTATCCATCAACTTGTGAACAACATACTGATCTTAGTTTCTTGTGAATCTATGTTTTGTAGGTTATTCATTTACTACTTAAATCTTTTAGCAGTGATGAATTATTGGTTTCTTCATTATTTCTTGTTCCATAAGTTTGTGTGACGACGACCACAGGTGAACTCGAGGAAGCTGTAGGAGGCTCACAAGGAGCCGAAGAAATTCCATCCAATCATTTTTCGGTAGGATATTCTGGAATTCCTACGTGTAGTTTCCTGATTGGACAAGGCTAATAACCCCCTGTATGCGCATTGGTGGACTGTAATGATGATTTCGTTCTTACTGAAAACTATGAATACCTGACAATCTTTTACTATAATTGACATCGTTTAGAATAATAATCCTTTCATTAGTCTTCTGTCTTGTTATTGCGACTTGGAAGGGTTTTTGTATTCTAGTGTTCAGTTATACGCGGTATATCAAGAAAACAAATTTCAAGATATAACAGTTTGGATAAACTGATTTCGCCCTTAAAAATTCCCTTTGTTTAATATTTTCCAAATGTTTGATCTTTTTCAATTAATCCTCAGATAAAGATCGCTATATGGATGAGTTTTGGTTAGAAAAAAAGGTAAAGAATTATTTTATCTAGTGTATTTGATTTGAAGTTACAGGTTTCTGACCGTCTAGACAACCTACATATATGTATCTATAAATTACATAAGTAAATAAAACATTCAACCCTTTTTCACAACCGTTACTGTCATATACTTTTTCAATTTATGAAGCTACACAACAGTTTTAATCAACATATTTTTCGAAATAAAAACTCTCCCAAACCATTTATCCATTAACTGTCCTTATTTAAATAAAACATTTGAACTTAGCAGTGGAATCTAGGATGCGCGTTTCATCCTATTTGGAACTCGTCAGCTGGATGTACCTGCATCTCAGAGTTGATGTTGACTCTGGAACTGGAACACAGTACCGTTTGCTTCAAATGCGACCGCGTTATCCAATAAGAGACTGATCACTTGCAGTCCTAAACATCAATGAGAAGGTTCGAATAAACAATATCAAGTGAATTTAAACTTCACCCGATTGCACAAGCAAGTGTCTATCAGGACTCAGTAGCTAAGTAGATAATGCGGTGGTGTTTGAAACGAATGGTACTTTATCCGAGTACCAGAGTGAACATCAATTCTGAGATGCAGGTACATCCAGCTGACGAGTCCCAAATAGGATGAAACACTCGTCCTGGATTTCACTGCTAGCCACTATCCATCTTTGTTTGTAGTGCTTGTAAATTAAGGTTATATCGAGACAATCCTTACAGTATGCACATCTGCCAATAAGAGTTTGATCAACTGCAGTCCTAAACATTAATGGGAAAATTCAAGTAAACAATACTAAGTGAATTTACGTTTGAACGGATTTCCAATCAAAGCTACCTTAATGAATAATTTTTCCTGTTAGAAAACAAAAAAAAGCGATTTTAAAGTTTTCACATTAAGGAAATAACATTTTTGAACTTCAGCCAAATGAACAATATCAGGAAGATGTCATGTTTTTTCTAAGTGAAAGGTAGATTCAATTATGTTTAATCGATTAATTCCATAACTTACTGACGTTTTATTCCCTTTGCAGATCATCAATTGATTTACATGGTTAAAGTGACCTGTGACTGATTAATGTGTGTGAAGACAGATATTACCTAGCTACATTATATATAGTCGACTATCTTATTTGGTAAGAATTTATTCCTTTAGTAATTCCTTTCTATTGAATACTCTGTATTATGTTGTAGTTAGCCCATTCAACTATTGTATTACTTATCTGCTCACTATAAGTGAAGATTTTTTAGCCCCAATACACTATGACGACGACGAATCATAATGATCTAAAATACACTCATTTATATATTGATTGTACACCCATTTTGAATAATAATTAGGATTAAATCACATACTCAGTTATAAGAAATCACTTACTGATCATAGTTCATGTCAAGTAAATACAAGAATATGGTTTATTATACAGAAGAAAATATCATACTGGGAAAACAATCAGATAGTACACTGAATGATCATCACATTGAATTAAAAGGGAAGTAATGTTGAACAAAACTCACAATGATCAAATCAATCGAAAATTGACTTTTCTTTCCAAGTAATTCACCGACACCAGTACGGACAAAGTTCGAAAAGCAATTCACATACGAAGTGGGATGTCCTGTGTTTGCCCGTGACTACAGACCAACCCATGGTCCATGGACGGAAGCGCGAGTGGTTAGAAGAGTTGGCCGAGTCATGTACGAAGTTGAGGTAGGCAGCGACAGTTGGCAACGCCATCGGAATCAGCTACGCAAACAGTTAGCCCCAGACCGCCCATCAACAGAAGCAAATATTCTTCTTGACATCCTGCTAGACACATTCAACTTACCGGCAACCCTATCACAAGAAAAACCTCAACAACAAGCTGAAACACGTCTCAGACAGTGGCCTCTCCGACAGCGGCGAGCAACAGTCAAGATGCAGGTCGACCCCAGGAAAGCACGCTATTAAAAAGGGGAGGAGTGTTAGGGACGATAGATCCTCAAAACTCATATTTCGTAATTTGAATGGCAGTCAATTGATGAACTAGTCGATCAAATGTTTAAATATTTGAAAAGGCAGTCGATTGACGAACTTACTGATTAATGTTTAAAAAATTTCCATGACAATATCGATTATAAATATTTGTATAAATACACTTGATTTGTGTGCCTGATTGACCTGGTATCTGCTGGTTGCCTGTAGAATACACTTCTACGTCTTACCAAGACTTCTTGATCGAGTTAGCTGAGTCGGGGACAATGGACCAGAATAGCCTATTGAGTCTCTGAATCCTGATACTTCGTTCAGTTCCGAATAAACCGAATCAGTAGTAGCATTCAAGCTTAACAAACCTAACAAGACACTTGATCCATCATGTAATTTTCTGTGTGAGTATGATTGAGCACATGTCTGCACATCAACTTCCAATCTATTCTCCCATTGGTTGTAATACACAGATAATCAATAATTTATCCATACTTGATTAACACTCAAAAATATATATGGATTTTTATCACTCACACACACACTCTTGGTTTCCCTGCCTGCTTGCCTCCTGTACGCCTGCGGATTTTACCAATCTTTAACAATGAACTATCTCTATAACTGATGTTCAGGCTTTTGAATGATCTCGATTAAACTCATAATTCTACTAGGAGATTTAGTCTGCATTAAATACTCAGTTAACGGGATACTATTTATTGAAGTCAGATATAGAGGAAATTAGCCTCTACAATGTATTGTACTGATCGATATTCAGTTTTTCAATATAACAGCTGAACTATTAAATGTAAGTGTATCATTTCATCAAGTAATGTTAACAAGCACTAACGGGTATATAGCAGTATTTGACAGAATTCAGTAATGATGTTATTCAAAATGTTTCCATTAAAGCTAAACACCGAATGTAAGCTAATTTTGAAGAAACTGAAATCCTCAATAAACGTTAATTGTTTTGATCAACTGTAAAATGGTCACGTTATAACTAGAATGGGGAGATTTTTTTGGGTAATTTTAATAGTTGAATTCACGAGTTGATGTGAGCTGGATCACCGTTGAAAAGCTGAAAGCACTCAACGGCTGTTTCGTTCAAGAACATGACTTCTCAGCAGTGCACATCTACGATCTTGGCAGATGGGACTCCAACGCTGGACCTTCGGTCTCACTGGCGAACGCTTGACCTCTAGAATACTGAACCGGCATCCACTGGTGTCAGTGTCTAACTTTAATCGATTTATGATCTTACTCAACCATTCATTTATTACAGTCCAGTGTTTCCAGGTTTTCGACGGTGGTCTGGTCATGACTTCAATTATTTTATAGGTATCTATATCAAGGTACGACTTGACAGTTTCAAATAAATCGAGCATTTGTTAGAAAGTTAATAATAAATTTATTTAATATATCCTAATGAGTGGAAACTCTATATTTCTCTCGTTTCATAACTTAAAGTAAGCCACATCTTCAGAACATAGGGACTCAAAATAAATGTCAACCAATATCAAAATCAGATTCTTCAATACGAACGTCAAGACAGTTCTACTTTACAGATCTGACACTTCGAGAACTACTACAACCATCATCAAGAAGCTACATGTATTTATAAATACTTGTCTACACAAGATACTCAACATCCATTGGCTGGATACCATCAGCAACAGCCTACTTTAGGAGAGAACAAACCAGCTTCCAGTTGAAGGGGAAATTGGGAAACGATGTTGTAAGTGTATGGAACATACATTGTAGAAATCAACAAATTGAATGACGAAGCAATCCCTAACTTTTAATCTTGAAGGGAAACGGAAAAGAGGAAGTTCGAAGAATATACTACGTTAGGAAATGGAAGCAGTTATGAAAAAGATGAATAACAACTGAAAAGGACTGCTTAGGACGGGGTTAGATTGAGAGTTCTGGTGGGCAGCCTATGCTCTTCCACGAGGAGTAACAGGAGTAGGTAAGTAGATACTTTTTCAGAGTCAATCTACTAAGAAGAATTGGCTTACATTAAGTCACAAAATATCAGAAATATAATTTTTCTACTCATCTTATCTATTCTTTTTTTCAGTGATTGAGATCATAAGTCAACTGAAGCTAGACGATCATGGAAAACCTGGAAGCACTGAACGACCGTTTTGTCTTATTGTGGGACTTCTCAGTAGTGGACATCCGCGATCCCTCTGCGCAAGGTTAGAACTCAGGACTTATCAGTCTCGCGCAAGAGCGCTTAACCACTTAACCAATAATTGAAAAATAAACAAAACTACTTTCAATTATTATTATTATTTTATTGTATTATTTATTAAAGAGGTTATAATTTCATAATTCATTATGTAAATCTGAAATAATAAAACAAAATAGTTCATGTTAAATATTGAATTACTCTATGAACTTTAAAAAAGTATACATGATCATACTGATTGAGATCATGAGTCAATTGAATCTAGACCACCATGGAAAACCTGGAAGCACTGGATGGCCGTTTCATCTTAGTACAAGACTCCTCAGCAGTGCACAACTTTGTGGATTGGTTGAAGTAAGACACTAACACCGTCGGATGCCAGCCGGCTCAATGGTCTAGTTGGTTAAGCGCCTGGGGCAAGACTGATAGGTCCTGAGTTCGAATCTCGCGGGAGGCGGGATCGTGGATGAACATATCTGAGGAGTCGCATACTATGGTGAAACGGCCGTCCAATGCTTCCAGGTTTTCCATGGTGGTTTAGCTTCAGTTGACTCATGATTTCAATAAGCCAAATTTCTAAAATCTCCACAAAACCGCTTCTTATACATGATCATAGTTTTCTTTTATTCATAGTAATATAAACTTACTTAAGCGGTCATTTCAAGCAGAAATGTCATTATTGTCTCTATAGTTTCTAAGCACTAAAAGAACAATCAAATGAGATATTTAGTTAGATAGAAATTGAAATATTGAATCTGAAAAAAAAGTATATATTAATGAAGAGTTAGTTTATATTAGAGAGTCCAATAATAGGACGAAACGGCTGTTCAGTGCTTCCAGGTTTTCCACGGTGGTCTAACATCAATCAGTCCATGAGCTCAATCAAAAAACTTATATTAGACTGTTGAAAAATATTCGAACTAGTAACAATCAAATGTTTGTATTATTTGATATTATAGATTTATTAATATTATTATAGAGAAAGTGTGTGTCTATAGGAGGATAGAAAAAATTGCATCACAAAAATGGATTCAGTTGAAATGATATGTGCTACTGATGTCGATAGATATAAGTAGTATGTATTATCAATCGAAATTGAAATGTTTGACTAGTATATAGAATTTTGATCAGTAATCTAAAGAAATTTCGCTGTGTACATTCTGCTGTTTACTTTAGACGGAAAGATTATATTATTCTTCAGGTGATATTTATCCCTGATCGATAATTTTTGAGTACCAGGAACCACTGGATATCTGTTTCATCTAAACGTAGGGCTCGTCAGAAGGGTATACTTCAAAACCACACACCAAAGATAGAATCGTGGATGTTAAAGATCTTGAGGAAGAGTACTCGCTCATTAAAACCGTTGGGATATAATTTGCTGGAAAACAATCTCAAATTCAAGAAATTCATTGTATCTCGATTATCAGCAAAAAATAATGGTGTCGACTTTTTCTCAACCGAAATTTTTCAACTTCATGGGCTATGACTTCTAACTAGAACTTCAGGAACATATCGCGAATTTAATCACTGGTGAGATCATAATTTAGCTCTAGTTGAAGTGGTTTAATGAAGATCAATTTATTCTGTAGGTAGCATTCGTCACATAAATGCATATCATTAAAAGTCGACCCGATGATCATATTATTTGTGCTCTTCCTGTGAGCTTTAAAATTTTTATTTTCAAACAGCTTATTTTATTAACGAAAATGTCTTTGAAAAACGCTACCGGCAAGTAGTTCGAGGACGCAATACATCTGAAAATGTTTATACAAAGACTTGTATTGTCAATATAAGCTTGTGGAGATTCTTGAATTTCGTTGCGACCATGAACAGATCATAGTTCAACCTTGTCGGTTGTGAGGAAGATGCCCATCGAAGACAAAGAAGAATGGTCTTGAAATATCGTGGACTGGATGAAATTTGACACATGCACAACTATATCAAATCTCAGCGGTCTAGGTATTAAGCTTTTACATACTAAATCAAAAGTTCTGATTTCGATTCCCAGGTTCGATGTACTGTCAAGTTTCAAATTTGCCGCTTTTTAATCATTTATCTTTAGTTGAAATGACTGAATTAAATTGTTTTATGGAAACGTTTATTCATGTTAAAGACAAGTTCAGATGAATAATCACTGAAAATAATTGTTTCATTCAAAATTTTACAACTAATCACAATTAATATCCTTCATTTCTCAAGGTGAAGTCAGTCAGTCCATCAGCTACAACGTAAGACCAGGCATATATATGCATCGGTTCAAGTTGCCATACCTTATTAGCACAAAAAGATGAACATCAAATTCATAGAAGTAGTTACTTCAAAGGTAGTAATATATTAAAGAAAGATTGTGTATAAGGAGATAGTACAGGAGGGAAGAATTAGTAGGAAAGGTATAAAGTAATTTTAATCCCACGATTTCAGGGAAGACAGAGAGTGTATACACCGACGCCATTGTGATCGATTATGACCCGACCATTGCTGCTACCTTGACGTGGTGGTCGAGCTTGCCTATCGTTTTCAACCAAACAATCGTTCCTCAAGGTCCTACCGTGTCAGACAGGTCGGTTGAAGAGTGGTAAAACTAAAAGCAACAAATTCAAGGTCCGAAGGCGATGTCGTACTGCTGATTGTACAGAGGTGTGACAGCGGTAAGGTGTTTCCTTCAGACAACCAGCATGACAGTGATGCTGCCTTAAAAGAAGGGGTGGGATTAGAAAAGGTCGACCCTAAAAATGCACGTCTCGCCTTATCCCACAGATATCCGTCTCCGTTGGTAAGGTCTCAACAAGTATGGAGCTAACACAAAAATTATTGACAGAAAGACCATGTGTGACCGACCTCCAGCAGTTGTCTCTTGGTCACTGCAGTCACTCTCTCAGGTCACTAAGACCACCTTTAATCCAATTTCCTTTTCAGGTATCTCGAGAAAAACCTTTTCTTGGGGTGGGCAACCATGAAGTGATAACTGCTCTCATACCTCTAACAGCAATTAAGGTGAAGTAAAATAATAAAAATAGCTAAATTGGAACTGAAAAAATTACATTTTCAACTTGAATCACATGCACTAATATGAGATTATGAGTTCACACTATTGATCTATTGTTCCCCATTATGAAACCCATTTCAAAATATGTGGATACGTACTCTGTGTTTATCAGCTGCATGATGTTTACATATATTCTTTATGATTATCTCTTCATATTCTGGTGATTTGGCTAAAGACAAGCCATAATTTATATGCTCATTAATACCTAAATTGAACAAAGAAATGTAATAAAGAATAATGTCTTGAAAAACAATAGGGTCTTTTTCCTAAAATAAGTCATCAAAACATTGAAGTTAAACTGTTACAAAGTAAATTTGAAACTATACAATACAACTTTATTAAAACAAACTAACTTTTTATAAATTTTTTATCTCTAGATTGAAAGATTTAGGAATAATACAATATGTTACTTATCAATTTTACTCAACAAAGACAATGAAAGATGGTCGCACACTATTGTGAATTGGTTAAAGTTAGGTATTAACACCATTTTGTCTCGGCTTTATGGTCTAAAGGTGCTGGGTTGGAGCCTTGCGTGCAGGATCTTGGATGAGCACTGCTGAGGAGTCCTATTCTGCGACGAAAAAGTCATCCAATAAAGTGAACGTCATCCATAAGATTATAATGTGTGGAGGAACGTGACGTCAAAGGTGTTACAGTTATCAGATAGAGTGAAGAGTTTATGTGCATCGAAAGCACGGGTTTGGCGGAACACTTTGAGACCAGACGAGATGACAGTTTATATAGCAAAACATATCGTAAGATGCCAACGGAAGACTGAAGTGTCTGTTCAACTGAATATATAATTACTTTGTAACTTCTCATGTCGAACACAGTCCTCCTTTCTATTGTCGTGATCTACACCAGTGTTCGCGGTTTTCAATTGTTGTGATCGCTCGTTTCTGGCTGTTTGCAGAATATACTTTCCATTCCAAGCTTGGACTTCCCCCTCTGGTTAGCGGGGCTGGGACGCATCAGTAGCTACCTTACTGGTCTTTGATCACCAAGTCTTGTTTCGCGTTCGCAGATTAAGTGAACTCGTGATAGCTTCGAACCTAGCAAATTTGGCGACGGGGATAGGATCAAATTTGCTAGGTTCGAAGCTATCACGAGTTCAGTTAATCTGCGAACGCGAAACAAGACTTGGTGATCAAAGACCAGTAAGGTAGCTACTGATGCGTCCCAGCCCCGCTAACCAGAGGGGGAAGTCCAAGCTTGGAATGGAAAGTATATTCTGCAAACAGCCAGAAACGAGCGATCGCAACAAACACAATTCAAAACGTATATATATATATATATATATATATATATATATATATATATATATATATATATATATATATTCAATATTACTATGGAAGTTTGTTTTAAACATTTAATCGATAAGTTAGTCAGTCGACAGCCATTGAAGTATTTAAACATTTAATCGATAATAATAGTTTAGTAAATTAACAATTATACGGTAAAAATATACATATAGTATTGGTCCATAATTGGATCCCAAAAATTACCACCCATTACTCTTATCGGGGCATAACATCAATGATGATCTAACACTAATCGGTTCAAGATTACAATAAAAGCTTTTAGTAGCCCGGGATCTGACTCCAGGTAGGTCGTTTGCTGCTTGCTATCAAAATATACATGCCGCCAATCCTCGCATATAATCATCAACTTCAATCGTGTTAGTGTATAACGGAATTAAATAAGTCAAATACGAAAACGAAGTTTTGAATACGTACATTTCGTACAATCGTTGATCTGAACAAAAAATCAGGGAGACGGAGAGAAGGAAGCGAATGGGCGAGAGAGAGAAATGAAACTAAGTGATACTTAGTGGAGTAGGCGAGTGAACCAACTCCCCGTAATCAAGTGTTAATCGATATTTATGGTCAGATAAAAATAATTTACAAACAAATGATGAGTAAGATAAGAGATGTACACACATACGCTCACATAAAAACAGTCAAGGTTGATAAGCGAATAATTGACCGGGTTTAAATGTGGCTTGAGAAGAATGAATAGATTGATCCGTCTAGAGGTTAGAATAACCCATGTGAGCTTGACATAGTACGAACCCCTACAAGCTCAACAATCTTCACAACCTTATACTAATAATTGTATATTATTGGATTTAGATTACCCAACTTTATAACTGCAAAATTTGACGTGTGAAAAGCCAATATCAAGCAGTTGAAATGGTAAATGCTCCATTGACTAACTTCAATAGAACATTATAAGCAATTCATCGAGAATATGTGTATTTAAGAACTTTTATACTTACATGATGAAATTTCAGAATCTGATAACATTGTGTGTTCATGGTGACAGAAACCTAGTTTCTAATATATAAAAAAAAGAATTATATAACTGATTGAAACACATAAATTATATTTATAAGCAAAGATGAATAGTGGTTAGCAGTGGGATCTAGGACATCAGTTTCGTTCTATTTTGGACACATCAACTGGATGTATCTGCATCTTAGAGATAATGTTTACTCTGGGACTCGATTAACAACAATGAGAAAATATAAAAAACAATACTAAATGAATTTAAACTTCATACCATTGCACAATCAAGTGGCTATCAGGACTCAATAGCTAAGTGGATAACGAGATGGCGTTTGAAGCGAATGGTACTGGGTTCAAGTCACTGAGTGAATATCAACTTTGAGATACAAATATATGTCTAAATAAGAACTTTTATTTTATTTTATTGGTTTGACCTTTATTATTTTTCATATAAACATGTCTCTTACACATTAATACAAATACCTATCTATAAAGAAATCCTTCACGTCGATTGGATGACTTATTCAGTATACAGTAAACCGAAGAACTATGTAACTATTTATATTCGATAATTTTGTTGCTTGATTATATTTTCCTTGAAAAAGCTTGGACCAGATTGCCAGGCAAAATGTTGGATTTACTTGTAATTCACTCGCTGAGATTTTACAAATATATTCTTCTTTTTAATGTCTCAAATATATGTTTATCTGATGAGTCCCAGATAGGACGAAACACGCGTCCTGGATTCCACTGTTAGCCATCATCATCCATCATTGCTTATAAAATACAATTGTATATATTTTGAAAATGAAGTTCTTATTAAGAACGAATTATTTTATGAAACTGTCTGTTTTATATGATTACAATTTATTCAGGCTAACCGCCTAGTTGATCATTACATATATACTTAAGTCATATGGATTTTGTGTAAAATGTTATTACCTTATGTAATAATTAAAGTATCAAAATAAAGAAACAGGATATTTAATGATTAAAACGAAAACATAATAATAATAAATAGTTTACTTACAGAACATTCTAAGGTAACATTTATATGATGAGCCAATTGATGAATTGTCCTCGGTAAATAGTGTGTGATGTCTAGACACTGTTAAAAATGGACAATATATATATATATATATATGAGATGATGGAAAATATTTGCAGATCAGGTGGATGATTTTGATGGAATTTTATTCCCTGAGATCGATGGTTTTATCGTGGAGCTTTCATCGTTATTCTGAACGACATCATCAGCACAAACTTCAGGTAGAAGTGCCGATGATGTCGTTCAGAAGAACGATGAAAGCTCCACGACAAAACCATCCACCTCAGAGAACAAGACTTCGTCACTATATATATATATATATATATATATATATATATATATATATATATATATATATATATATATATATATATATATATATATATATATATATATATGGCAATTGTCAGCAAGGTTTATCTATAATCGTGAAGGAATTAAGGCTCAGTAGTATTGTCTCTGACTTCTAGGTTAGGTGACACGTAATAGGATCTAGCAGGAAGCACTGATCCATTCACGATTACAGGTACATTTTGCTAATAAGTACCAAATAGCACGAAATCTGTATCCAAAGTCACTTGTTGACCATCTATTTTTAAACAAAGTATACATTCTCTGCAAGAATCTTGCGGGACATGATCGTGAATGCACACTGCCGAGGAGTCCCATCCTAAGATGAAACGGTCATCTAATGCTTCCAAGTTTTCCATGGTGATCTAGCTTTAAATGGCTCATGAATTCAACTATAAAAGTACACGTTCCCAATTTTTCCGATTAGTGTTCCCAATATTTGAATATAACATAATCTTATATTTTTAATTAAAGCGCTTCAAAATTTAGATTTGAAAAAGAGTTCAATATAGTCAAAAAACTTGATCCTTATTCATTAGTTTCCAATTAGGATTTTTTTCTTAATTCCATTTATTTTGAACATGAAATATTACAATATTATTTTGTACTGTGAAGAGTACTACTTAACTCCGCCTGGAGTCCCTCCGGGGGCTACTGCCGGTCCCAAGCACGAATAAAGGAGGAGGATTGGGCATGGGGTTAGCGACCCCATCCCATAGAAAACTACTTCGCTAAAAAAACGCTAACCAGAAAAAATCATTCAAACCTTTTAAACTCTGCCCTGGGAGTCAGAAGGTCTTCATTTAGAAGAACTTTGACGTCTCATGGTGAAAGCCGAGTTCCTTCAGAAGTCACGAAGCCGATGGCCCTTCTGACAACCACAGCAACAATTTATCTAGGTACATGGAATGTTCGTACAATGTGGGAGACCTGGAGAGTCTTCCAAATTGCTGCAGAATAGTACTACTTATAAGTAGTATTTAAAAGCTCTTAATTAAAGATGAATATGTTAATATTTTATAAAAAAATTAGTAATAATATGAGTATATTACTTCATCTCTCCACTGTTCTTCAGGAATTAAATTGCACATCTGAGATATTATTCTTGAGGTTAATGGGAGGAATGGTTCATGTTCAATGACTGTTTTTACCAATCTTCCTATACGTCTACAAATTCCGCATACTGGACGAAAATAACAAACGATTATGATTATTCAGTTAATGGAAGAAGAAGAAGAAGAAGAATTCTTGTAAAAGAAATAAATTTTGTAAGTGATATTTATCATGATTTAATGTTACTGAAGGTACTAGGAAGTACTGGAGAAGTGTTATGTCTTAGTATGGAACTCATCAATAATGAATACTTATAACTTTATTGGGAATCAAATACAGAACTTTTCAGTGTAGCTGTATAAGCTTAAATTTTAAACTAGCTTGTTGAATGTTTTCTTATACAGGGGGGGGATAAATATTCACATATAGGCATTTATTTGAAAAAGTACCAAGAAACAATCAGCCACAGTTTGATAATCTTTTAGAACTTCAAAATACCATACAACATCACTCATACTTCACTATCTTGCACTGATCAACTGCAATTATTAATGATCAAAACTGATTCAGAGTTAGATTGATTACCATTCAACGTACGATCCTATTGTAGATGCATATCACGACGTATGAAATAGAATGTTTAATGAAAAGTATTACCCTTTTTATCATAACTGTTACTGTAAAATGTTTTAATCCATTTTATATGAACAAGATTTAAGTTAAAAACAACTTGAAATTAAACAGAGATAGATAGTGGCTAGCAGTGGAATCCAGGATGCGCGTTTCGTCCTATTTAGGACTCGTCAACTGGATGTACCTGTATCCCAGAGTTAATGTTCACTCCCGGACTCGAGCCCAGTACTGTTCACTTCCAACGCCATTGCGTTATCCACCTAGCTACTGAGTCCTGATAGCCACCTGCTTGTAAAATGGGGTGAAGTTTAAATTCCACTGCTAGCCACTATCCATCTTTGCTTACAAAGCTATATCGAGACAATCCGCACAGGATGCACATATGCCAACATGAAACTGATCAATTGCAGTCCTAAACATCAATGGGAAGATGCAAGTAAAACAACACCAAATGAACTGCAACTTGAAATGTTTTTTTTTAAAAAAAGATGAAATGAGTCAAGTCTTACAGAGATGACATTGTGGTCTTTTCAATTGTTCACCGTATATCTAAAGAAAAGTATAAATGTTTGTAAATGAGATAAACAATATTGATTTTAAAAAGAATATTATATAATCTGAATAGTTAAGTAGATATTATCACAGTAATAATGCCATCTTAAAAGGTTTGAATAATTTTTCTGGTTAGCGTTTTTTTTTAGCGAGAAATGGAGATAGAAATGAGAAAAATGAACAAGAATTGGATGGAATTAGAAAAGAAGGCTCAGGACAGAGTGGGTTGGAGAATGCTGGTCATCGGCCTATGCTCCATTGGGAGTAACAGGCGTAAGTAAGTAACTAATGTCATCTTAGTTGTATTCTCTCCCTATGACTAAGATTTGTATTACACGTAAGTATTAATATAACAAACTTCTATCTGAAGTTTGTGCTGATGTTGTCGTTCAGAAGAACGATGAAAGTTTCACAACCAAACCAGCCATCTCAGAGAACAAAACTCCATCAAAATCATTCACTTGAACTACAAATCTTTTCCATCATCTCAAAATCTTAATGGAAACCAGATTTATTAGTGTAGTTTTCCTACAAAACCAATATAACAGAACTGATACTGAAACAGATTTTTATGACAAACAGATATCAACTGGAAATAACGTGAGATGACAAACTTATTCTATTTTTATATAATTAAAATCCAACATCAAGCGGTAATTGTGAAATTTCAATTTATGGTTGAACGCGATACCGCCTACTCAAGTTATCACGATGTTACAAGCCTAATTCGTACGACTTTGATTATAAAAAAGTTACACTTCACTTTTCCAAGTAACAATCAAAGTAATGTAACCAACAATGCTGTAAGTAGTTGTGTAGTTTACTCATTAAATGGGAAATAAATCATTAAATACATTTTGAAATTTTATTACTTGATATACTGACTTCTAGTAACTTAAAACATCATATCATTCAAAGAATAACACATTATTAGTGTAGGGATTTGTGGAGATTGAGGTGTTTTCACGGTTTATTTCAAAAGTCTGATTAAGCTAGACCACCACTGAAAACCTGGAAACACTGGATGGCCGTTTCGTCCTAGGTTGGGATTCCTCATTAATGTGCATCCATGATCCTGCACCATAGGAACTCAAACCCAGGAATTTTGGTCTCGCCCGAGAATGCTTAATTTATAAACCGCTGAGTCGGCATCAAACGATGTCAACGTCTAACTTTAATTGATCGATGTACTTATTTATATTTGATAAATGTGATGTTTGATTATATTTCGTTGTAAAAGCTTGGACCAGATTATCAGGCAAAACTTTGGATTTACTTTAAATTCATTTGCTGAGATTTTACAAATACATTTCTCCTCCTTAATATGTATCAACAGTTTGTAAGTAATCATTATCAGCTGTTTATTCAGTTCCTATGCTAATCTTTATCTACGAATAGTTTATAAAGGTGAATTCTATGTTAATCGGTTATTGATTTTACTTAGAAAAATATACGATATTTAAATAGTTAAAACAAAGTTTTGACAAAAAAACATTATCAGAAAGGGTTTTTGTGGCGATTGTAGTAACTTGGAAGCACTGGACGGACGTTTTGTCCTCAACAGTACATATCTACGACTTTGCGTTCGCACGCGAGACCGAAATCCTTCGGTTCGAATCCTGTGAGTGAGGTTGTGGATGCGCAATACTGAGGAGTCCCATACTGGAACGAAACGGCCATCTAGTGCCTCCAGGTTTTTTATGATGGTCTAGCTTCAATGGACTGATGAATTCAACTATGAAAAATAGTATATACTTTAAAACTGGTATTAAAGTTTGACGTTCAATTATAAAACTATCTTATGATACATCTATTATGAACACTAACTTGACAAATATATCTTAGGATCGAAAGCGGTTTTTGTAGATATTATATTAATTTCAATAGACCAAAGGCCCAGGTTCGAATCTTGCGATCAGGATCGTGGCTGCACACTTCTGAGGAGTCGCACAATAGGACGAAACAGCCTTCCAGTGCTTCCAGGTTTCCAAAAGTGGTCTAACATCAATCGATTCATGATCTCAATCAAAGACTTAATAATCTCCACAACCCCTATACTAGTAATTTCAATAGTTGAGACTATGAATCAATTAAAACCAGACCACCATAGAAAACCTGGAAGTATTGGACCGTCATTTCATCCTATTATATGACTTTTCAGTAGTACGCATCCATGATCTCGTCTCGCAAGATTCGAACCGAGAACCTTCAACCGTTCAATGATCCAATAAGAAATCATCCTATTTAATATTTCGTTTAAAGGAGATAAACCATTTTATTAAGCAAAAGATTACTTATACTTTATATACTTACATTCTCTTCATTTCCTAAGGTTACTTCATTGATACCTAGAAACAATAAAATATAAAGTAACAAAAAAATACTCTTTTTGTTATTGTTTATTTACTTAATAAAACAATCAAAATGTAAAATTGCTTCAGTATGGTTTTCATTATTGTTTATTTCAGTTAAAACATAATTCAATTTCAATGTTGTATTTATACCATTTTTCTTCTTCTTCTTTCTTGTTGTTGTTGTTGTTGTTGTTGTTGTTGTTGAACGGAACTGAACTGAACTGAACGATTCGTAATTCGATTGTTCAATGTTCAATTTATTTAATTTCAAATGTTTGTTTAAATAAAAGAGTAAAGTTTATTTTCATAGAATCAAAGTATCAAATACATCAATTTGATTACATGGTTTGTTTTAATGTATTTATCAATGATGTAAATAATTTCGTTTCTACGTATTACGTCATCATTAGTGGTATGAGGTATATTTTGAAAAAAAACGAATGGTAACTGATCATTTAGTGTTTTTATTCTTAATTACTTAATTAACATTGTTGTTTACGGGTTAATATGTGTATTATTATTATTATCATCATCATCAAAGAGAAGAGTTGCCAATTCCAACGAACTTTGAGACTGAATTAGATCTATTTCAATATTTAATCTTTTTTTGAAAAATTTCAAAGGTTACTATGGTGATACATTCGTTTATCTCTTTATCATAAACCTGTGATCCATTTGATAAAAATTATTATTTTTTTAAAAAAATAGAAAAGAACCTTAATGGAAATAATATACATTTTAAATCATGCCAAATTTGTTTGAATTAGATCTTTATAACAATTAATTGAGAGAATAAACATGACTATAATGTAAGGATATTGACTTTTTGTCTTGTATGGTGAATTTGGATATTCGGTAGCTGAAATAGTTGGAAAGAAATTCTACTTGAAAGATTTTGTGCTGATTGATAATCAAAAGAAGAATGTGTTTGTCATTTTGAGAAGAAAGAGGCTCGTTTGTGCTAGGTTTTCTATTGAGGTTTCCATTGGGGTTTCCTTGCCTGAGTTCGAATCCCATCCATGTCGCTGAATTTACTGGGTTTGAAGCGATTACTAGTTCATTTAGACTGCAAACAGAACAAAAATTGTGACCAAAGACCAATAAACTAGCTATTCTATTGCGTCTCAGCCCCGCTAATTAGGAAGAGAAGTGGAAGTGCGAACGGGGAAGTATATTCTGCAAGAAGCCAGAAGCACGAACGATAACAACAGACACAAATCAAAACGTATATATACAGCACAAAACCGTCCTTTGGAAGGGTTACAAAATGGCATACTAAAAAACACAACGGACCAATAACGTTTAAGATTCTCCCAAGTGAGAAATACGACATGAAGGTGAAGAAGGTGATTTTGGAGCGAAAACAAAGAAATTCAAATTTTTTAAATAAAATTACAAAATTACGTTCTTCTCCGATTGAGTTCTGGGGACCTAACGTCCCCAACAGTTTGTAAGATTTGAATCCACTTTTAGGGCTCTAACAAGCATGAAATAAAGGTAGAGAAGGAATGAGTAACTATTGAAAATCTGAACAATTGTTTTATCCTGGAAAAGGACTAATCAATAGTGAGCATTCACAACCTCACAGTTGAGAACTGAACCAAACAATTCTAGTCTCAAGTTCAAATGATTAATAACGTATAAGCCATCAACCTCTACAATCCCCATAATGATAAATTAAGTTTTAGCATATTTTTATTGCGCTACGCATCTCCCAGTATATTGCAGTATCTAATTTTATGAATTATCCGGTAATGTAGATTGTTCTAATTAATCAAAATAGGCTGTAAAATTCAAATCTAACTATACTATTTAAAATACTACTTTCAATCATGGTACTCATCAAGCATGAATATATCTTTTAACTGTGGTGTTATCATACATGTGATGATAGATAATAAGTCTTGCTTAATAGCCTATAATCGAAAAATGACAATAAATGACTGTTTTTTATGTTCCTTCAACGAGCTGAAGACTTGAAAGATCTGTGTGACATAATTTTATCACTTACTACGATGAAATGTTTTGTAATAGAATATGAGTTACTAATAAGTAGTATACTTAGGGAACTTTAATACTAATCATGAATTAACTTGACATCTAGATATCATTTATGTTGTTGTAAAATTCAAGTAATGAAGATTAGATTTAATAGAGAATGTGGTTCAGTCGTTACAAATGATTTACACATAGAACACAAGTTAGTTGAAGCCGATAGAGAGAGCTTGAAAAAGACAAAATACAGAGCTAGATAACGCTCAACAATAATTGAACACATTTGAATGATCGGTGAGACTATAATTTATGGACGAACCAGTCACGTATAAGATAACAGGTTTCGGATTTTGGATAAATAGAGTTTTAGCATTATAACTGATGTCAGTTCTAAATGATAACCCGAAATCTAATTTCTAACCTTAGTCATGCACTGTAAATTGCAATTTCAATACCTCACACTAGTTTATAACCCTCATTTGGTCGTGTTTATTAGGTGGACACTCTCAAGGTCATTTTAGCGTTGCTCGAAGGTCGTCTATAAATTATAGCCTCACCGAATTATCTTATCTAACTACAACTAAACAGCTACTAACCGACATCGCTCCTGTAGAGTAGTTTTATACCGAGATTCATGACTTGAATTATTATGAGTAATAAAGATGAAGTTTGTACTCTTGTAATTACTACTTATTCAAAGTGAACTAAGTTTATTATTTGTTATCTTCCTATGCAGAATTAATAGTGCAAATTTATAAACAAGGGATTGTCATATTTGAAAACATTATTCAGTACTACAGTTTAGATATAGCTAGGATTAACTTTTAATTCTTCAGTTATGAATAACCTTGAATAATATATCAGTAAGTTACCAGTTAGCAGTGCTACAGTACCAAAACACTTATGCAATCAAAAAAGCTCTACTACACAAGTTATAATTATCTGAACAATAATATGACAACGGATACTGGGAAATATGAAACGCATCAAATATAATTACCAAGCGTAACACAATCAGTAAATCTGTATTTTTTACATGGCCTGACACACTAATTTGTGATTTCTTTTAACCTTCAATAACGTCAAACAGATTAGCGCATTGTAGTAGGCAATGAGTAGGATATGTGTTGCACGAGTTAATAAAAGTCTATAGTTCCACTAATCTATTTGGATTTTGAAAGTTGAATTGATGGTTTGATCCAAGCTGGACCAACATTGAAAACCTGGAAGCACTGTAGAGCCGTCTCGTTCTAGTATGGGAATCCTCAGCATTGCGTAACCATGATCAAGCATAGCTAGATTCGAACCCATGACCCATCAGTCTCACTCACGAGCGCATAACCTCGAGGCCGTTGAGGAGGCATCCAATGGTGTTAATGCCTAACTTCAACCAATCCATGAAGTTACGAAATTCACTCTGATGTAAATGTTATTTGTCAAGAAAGATTCAAAGGCTTGATAAACGTTTCCCGATTTCAACTCATATTCTTATTCTTATGCAACTATTTGTAATAATTAACTAGTTACGAGAATTCACCCTAATTTTAATTATGTTTCAAACATTGTGTACCTAACTGATTATAATATAGTTCAATTGACTGATCATCACTCAATTGGTAGCAGTCAGTCAGTCAATAATAACGTAGAACTTAGTACGTACGTACATCAGTTCGAGTTGACACACCACATTAATACAGAGATGCAGTTACCTATTCAAATCCCATAGTGGTACAGGTAGTAAGAGTATAAGCAGTAATCGGAAAAATTAGGGTTTGGAGATGTTATCCAAGCACTACAATACAGTGAAATAAATTTGGAAAGAAAATAAAGGACATGAAGAATTCAGAAGATTAGAATTTGGGAGAACATAAAGAGTGATGCACCTGCGCAATTGCAAACGATTTCGAGCCATGTCATTCAAGGTCTCTAACTATCGATTTCTATCGTCTCGCTGATCACTACCAGGTAGTGTACACCTATCAACATGGCTCAGTTCACTTGTCAGTCACTTCATGAACTTGTGCCATGTTTTGGTCTGGCCGCTCCTAGCTTTCTTCCAACCTACTCCTACACCAGAAAACATCGCACGTCGAGGCAGTCGGTGGTTGAACATACGTAACACGTGTCCCAGCCATCTCAACTGATAACGTTTTGCTCCTTCATCAATTGATTTACCATCCTTACCTATTACCCGTTTCCTAACAACTGCATTACTTACTCGATGGTCCCAGGATATACGAGTAATGTTTCGAAGACACCTACGATCGAATACTAGTAACCTATGAATATCCTCTACTCTTACCAGCCATGTTTCACAGCCATAAAGTAGGACGGCATGAACTGCTGCGCAGTAAACACGTCCTTCGGTTGACAGACGGATATCTCGCCTACGACATAAATAACGCAAGTTGGCAAGGCTAGTCGAATCTTCTGTATCCGTGCTGAGATTTCGTCACAATTCAAATCACAAAGGCTGACGAGACTTCTAAGATAAGTGAAATGTTCGACACTCTCAACTCGGTTGTAAATCATATCATATATAAATTTACAATGTTGCAAAACACAGTTCACCGTTTCCACATTAGTTGATACTGTTACTAAATAAACTATCTATAACATGTTCAAATAAACTATTATCCGACTACAACTCCTTAAATTCAACTCATTGAGAAGAAGAAAAATTCGAAAGTATTTTTCATATTTATTTAGTAAAACAAATTTCTTATGCAGTAATTGTACAATATTCAATGTTTATGTGCTTCAGCGTTTAATGTTTACTTTAATTCAACACATTATCGGTGTTTTTTACTGATGTGTTTAAGTGTGCTTGTATGTGCATATTGGAGGGAGATATTGCTGTTTATTCTTTTATTGTATGACAATATGGACAACGACCCTGTTGTAATGAGACCAATTCATAATCGTCAGTGTAAAATAGCTTGAGATTACAGAAAATAAACAACATAGATAAACAGGATAATATTCTCCTTGGACAAAGTAAAAATAATAAGATAGTAGATTACAAATGGAGGTTCTTAGGCAATTTGATGAAGTACACTCAGTCATTAAGTTCACATCGGGAGAAAATGAAGGTAGAATGGTCT